AATTAAAGTTAATTTTTCATGCTCTACTAAAAGTTATGCACACTTTACGTTTGTCACAGAGAGTGTGGGGGTGCCAGTGTAAAGATACATGTTCATATATGTATATTGTGGAAACGATTACCCATCTCCATCTCCAGAACAAGACCCAGAACGAGAGACCAGAGCCCCAGTTCCAGTGCTGCTGCTGCTGCTTCTGCTGTCGTGCTGCTTGGCTGCTCATTTATGACCATAGAGCACAAGAGCAGAATGTACGAGTACGAGTACGTATCTTGCGGATACACAGCACTACACGCACGCACTCACAGAATGCAATTGCTGGAGGAGGCAAAGGCAAAGGCAGTGGCAGAGACAGAGACCAGCCCCCAAAGAGACCCCAGAGCGTAGTCGTAGTCGCAGTCGGATGTTGTTCATTCAAGGCTCTCCTCCGTGTGGTGTGGCTGCCAACTTTAAGTCACCTTCGTTGTCGCCGTCGTCGCCGTCGTCGTTTGATGCTTCAGTGAGCTGCAACAGCCATCGCTTCCCATTTCTTTCATTCACGTTCACGGGGAATTTAGATTGCAGTTCATTGTGCTGTATGCAACGCGGGGGCCACGGCCACGACTATGGCTACGGCTACCTTTCGGCCACTGGACAGGGCACTGATTTCTGATATCGTTCTGCTGCTTAAGGCAAGGAGGAGGGGGGGCTTCCCCGAGGGTCAGCGCACTGTCATGCTTGGGAAGAAGCTAATTAAAGTTAAGGTAAAGGTAGAGTTTCCGCTAAAAAGTTCAGCCAGAGATACGTTTTATGGGAGCGACAGCGTTTGTGACAAAGTTTTTAAATTAAAAAGTGTTTAAATGCATTTCTATAACGTTTTTCAACACTTTAATTGATCCAATTTCAGATTTTAAGTGGTTTCTAAACATTTTTAAGCGATTTTGATTTTATTTGTGCATTACTTCTAGAAGCGTTTACCAACACTGTGAATTGTGATTTTCCAACACTACCATTTTTTCAAAGTCTTATTTCTTTTGCCCAACACTAATTAGTTCTGTTCTTGTCCATTCCAGCAATAACAAGAGAGTTTACCAACACTGGTCATATCAATTTCTAAGCAATAATAATTTTTAAAGTATATTTATGTTCGGATAAATTGTCAAAGCTTTTCCTCTCATAAACCACATTTAGAAATGGATGTCACCAGTTCTCCACCACCCACTTTTAGGAGATACATAACACTGGTTAAGCCACAAGGGCAACAGATGGCACTACATTATCCTTTCCTGACATTTGCCATCACGCCTTCGGGGCCTTCGCGCCTCTGCATTTCTCCAGCGACACTCTCTGACATTTGACATTTGGATGGGGGGGATGGGACTCATGTCATGGATGGAGACGCATCTGTAATATGCACATAATACGCACACATCAAACGTACGTACAAACATATGTTTGTATGCAGATGTCATTAGATTTACGAGCATGCCGCATGACAATGAAGCGACGGAACCGTCGTCGAAATCTTGATAAATTCCCAGACAAACAGTCGCAGACCCAAGCGGGGCTTTTGGGCCAAGCAAACCAACCACCCACCCCCCATATATACTCCCATATGATTTCTGTTTTAGTAATAATAAATCAAAAAAGCCAAAAGTCAAACCAGACCCAAAACTGTTTTTCCCTAATACTCTAGAGTGTTTTTCACGCAGCTTTCACAGGGTTTCCTTTGCCTCAGTGCTTTCAGTGATTTTCCCCCACTGCTTTCAGCGTTTTTCTCCACTGTTTTCAGGTTTATTGTTATCAAAAATATTGGATAGGTTCCATTTTGTGAGTGGGTTGTGACTTGTGCGATGATAAGAAAGCTTTTAGAGTATGGTTTCAATATTTGAAAGCTGTTTCCGGTTGGCCAGAAAGCAAATCACTTTGGGATATGTACATACATATGTGGGTTTCAAGCCATGGTAGCCATACACTTCCTATTCCCAACAGTTTTCCCCTTTTTAAATGCTCTGCCCAAAAGTCTCACTTGAAAAGATTATGCAAATAGTAGTCCCCCGACCTATACCCTACCCTACCCTACCCCAATCTAATTCCAGTTTCCCCCCCATCCAAAAACGAGAGACGGAGAATAATTCATTGTGCGGCAGACGCCCTCGCCTCGGACAAATTGCCATCCTCACTAAATTATATTTGACATTTAATAATAATAAATGTTTATTGTGCGCTGGAGAGAACTGATCACGTACATCCCCCTCCTTGCTGTTTGTCCACCCGCCCACATAGATTTTGCTCTTAATTTTTATGAAGATTCTTGCTTGATTTTCGCCATTTCATGTTTGATTTTTGTTTTTTTTTTTTGGGTGCCATTTGTCATTCATTATTTATTATATTGCAAAAAAAAATTCCAGTTTTTAGCGCCTTAATTAGCAGATTTCTTTGCTTGTTGTTTTTATGTGGGGGAAAAATTGACGTTCTCTAATTTACACACTCTTTCATGGTTCAATTAACATTTTCGAGTGCAAGTCATTGGCCAGGCCGGGCCAGGCCAGGCCATATGGTAATACATATTCATAAATGTCTGTCTGTACGGAAGGAAGGGAAGGTCATTGTATCGTATCCATTATAATGCTGTGCTTTTCGAAAGTAAGCTGAATTAAACGCACATAAATCAGGTTATTGAATGAATGACTAAGAAGCGCTTTTCGGTTTTCTGTTACCAACCAACCAACCAACGAACCGACAAACGACAGCAGGGACTAACGGTGGGCTTAATATATATTATTATGATTAATCATTGGGGGCACCACAAATACTTACGGCCACAAAATAGATTCGCTTTGGTTTCCACGCCCTCGGGGTCAAAGTCAAAGCAAAAAAAAAGATATGGCAACAAAAAGTAATATTTTTAGGCGCTTTTCGCTTTGATTCTCTTTTTTTCAATGCCCAAAAAAAACATCAACAGCTTCAGGGCAATTAATGATTTTATTTCTTTATGTTATTCATATTCCAAGTGGGGGCATGGCCAAATAAGGCAAAATTAAACAGGCAAATATTAAATTAAAGTGCGAAGTTCGAAGCAAAGGCAAAACGCCAGTGTGGAGGGAGGGGTTAAAGGATCCAATAAAGCAATAAATAAACCAAAAAGAAAGCGTGCCAGCAGCAGCAACAACAACAAACAGAACGTCAAAGAGGAGATCCAATAATGCAAGAGTCGCGCAGGTCCAACGTACACAAACAGCAGGCGAAAAAGGAAGGGAACCAACAAAAACGAAATTGAAAGCGAGACGTAGGCAAGATCGACAATTGAATGCGCTGCATTGCAAAGGAATATTAAAAGGAATATTCAATGTAAAAATATAAAAGATAAAAGAGAGGGAGAGAGAGAGAGAGACATGAAGAAAAGCTAGCGTAGGTGTGAGAGCGCTGCCTTTGGCGGCTGATGCTCTGCTCTGCCGTTTAATGCCAAACCACATCCAAAACTAAATATGCCCTTAACTAAAACTGAAGTAAGTAGGGCATCAGATCGCGCGACCATATGGCGCGTCCGTCGCCTTGGCAATGTGACAAAATGCAAATGCGTTGAGTCGTCGTCGTCGTCACCGTCACCGCCGCCGCGCTTTGGATTTGGCACGACTCAGCACTAGCTCCTGGTTGCTCCTCCCTCCCATCCCCACCGCCCTGGGCTAACGGTAAGCTGGCAAAGCTGCATAAAAACTGTTTTTCTGTTCTTGATTAAATACACACACACACACACATGCAAACACGCAAGCAAAAAAAACACACACACAGCACAACACAACACAGGAGGAAAATCGCAGAAAAAAAGAGCGCCATAAGAAAATCAATAATTTGATGTTTTGTTTTGTGCCACCAAAAAAATTGAGTGGTGTGTGTGTGTGCCCCACAAAGCGGAGTACTAAAATTGGAGCACTACGATTGCATGATATGATTATGAGAGTGTTGAATGTTAATTAATTCCATTCGAACTGGACTGGAAGGGACTCTCACCTGTGATTCAATTTCGCCTCTGACTTGAACTCTCCGAATCTCTTTTGTGAAGTGAAGTTTTAAAGTTTAAGTGAAGTTTGGCTGGCTCTTTTTTTATACACCGACACCGACACACACACACACACGACCGACACAAGCTTAAAAGCAATTTAAAAATATTTGTTTGGTGCCGAAACGAATTACGAAAAAAAACCTACAAGTACAAAAGGCAAAGCAAATAAACTCCAACTTCAGGGCGACTCTCGGGAGAGTGATTACACAACGCCAACTTCACGAGCCGAAGTTTTCTTTATATGTTTTTTTTTTTGGAGCAAAGAAACCAGCGCCACGCCACACACAAACGGCAAACGGAGCGGAAGAGGCTTTAATTTTTGTATATGCTGGGGGCTCTGCTCGCAAGGCCTGAAGCACGGCTCACATGGTTTATTTTAGTATTAATTAGAATATTTGTTGGTGTTTAATGCGAGAGATTCGCCTGAGATTTACACCAAGCGCACACACAAATGGCCAACACGCACACACACAAACACACAGACACGTTGGAGCCGCCAAGCGTTGGACAGGGAGAGAGATCGAATCGAAGCACAACTGCGACGCGACGTGGAGCACGGCGCACCAGCAACTGGAGCTGCTACGAGGCAGTGGCAGCCGACAGCGTATATTGGGGAACCGACGAAACGCAGTCGACCTCGACGTTCGCTTGGAGCCCGCAACAGAGTGGAATAGAGAGAGAAAGAGAGCGAGCGAGCGATACAGAGCGCTTGGGGGGTGAAATTGTAAACCCTTTTTGCCCACGAAGCTGCTGCTGCTGCCGCTACAAAACGGTAAATTGAAACACAGCTGTTTTGTGCAAAGGTGCTGCCAACCTGCTGCAAAAGGCCGCCAAAATTTGAATTGCAGAAAATTGGGAATTTAATTTGATTTATTTTTAATTATTTCTGCTTCCATTTTCAATTTTTTGTGGATCCAATATTGAACAAAAATTTAAAATTAATTTAATTTATTTTAATTTATTTTTAATTATTTGTGCTTCTATTTTCAATTTATTGGTGGATCCAATGATGAACAAAAATTTAAAATTATGCAAAGTCTGCAATGAATTTGTTGGTTTTCATTGCAGCTTGTGGTTCTCGTCGCTGCCAGCCCTCCAGCCCGCTATTCAACGCCAATAATGTAAACTAATGTAAGTAACTGTACCTATTTAAACCCGTAAAGACAATTATATAATGCCTGCTCTTGGCAAAAGGTGCCGCCACACAACTTGCCTTTATGTCGCATCTGTAGTTAGGGGTCTGTAAGTCTATGTCTGCCAGGGGCCATGCTCCAATTTGTTGTCCTCCACATTGACGATGTCCCCCAGGCGGACAGGACTCTTGACCTTCTGCAGGAATTGAATGCGCGGAAAAGAGAGCAGCTCCACGCGAACTTCAGTTAGAGCACCACGCGCCCCAATGCGCCCCAAGATCTTTATGACGCGTCCTTTAGCTGGGATCGCCTCCATGATAGGATTACTCGTATAATACTCGTATAATAATCGACAAACAACAGTGGGAGAGAGTTACGTTACAATGACATTTAGTGTGTGGATTTCTAGATTTAATTCTGAACACTTTCAAACTTTCCCCTGAGCAGAACATCCCTCATGATCGTTGCCAGTTCTTCGTTCTTCTGGGCGCGCATCTCATCGATGAGGGACTCCTTGAAGCCCGGATCCTTTGCCGGATCCGGGGGCGCCTGTTGCAGCTGCTTCTCCAGCTGCAGTTGGGGCACAGCCACCCCGAAGGTGGCCCCAATGCGTTCCACACTCTGCACAGCCGTGTCGCCGATGCGGGACCAGCTGTCGGTGCCAAACCAAATGGACAGCGGCTCATTGTGGTCTGTGACATGCGAGCGAAACGGATGGCTGGGCGAGCCGAAACCCATATGGCTGATGGTGTCCCGCAGCACCTTCGAGAGCTTCGGCACCTTCTGCGAGTAGAAGAGCAACGCGCCACCAATGTGATGGGCCATGGAGCGCAGGCAGCGGCAGATGGCCTTCTTTAGGGACGGATCCAGAGTCATGAACAGATCGTATTTCCCACCCACAATCACCACGGGAAAGGGCAGTGGCTCCAGCGTGCCCAGATCCTCCTTATTCTGCTGTCCCACTCGCTCCAGGGTTCGTTGTTCCAGCGTTTCCCTCAGCTGCGGTGTCATTCGTGCCAGCAGCTCTTGAGATGTGTCTCTCAGCCCCTTGTAGGCGCACTCTAGATCCGTCCAGAAGCGCTGCGGCTGCGACAGATCCACCATTATGAACACTGCTAGCTGCTGCAGGCCGTGTGTGCGCAACGGCACCTCCAGCAACTGATCGGCATTGTCCAGCGATCCCAACTCCCACACGTTCATGACTTGGGGCGATCGGCCACTGCCAATGCGGCGACCAAAGCTGTACTCCAAGGCCAAAGTGGGACGCGTTGTGTGCTCTTCCCGATCGAAGAATTTATTGATGGCTGTGGATTTTCCCTGCAGAAAAGTTTATTTTATATTTTCCATTTGCTCAAGAGGCGTCCATTCCCCCTCCGCTCACCACACATTTACTGCCCAGCACCAGCAATGTCCTCTCCTTGGGCGCTGAGCTGGCCTCCAGCTGCCGCAGTCGCTGCTGTTCCTCTGCCAGTCGACCGGCAATGTCCTGGATGCTGGGCGTGGCATTATCGCCGCCTTCGGTGCTTTTTTCAAACATTCGCAGTAGACGTTTGTGCCAAGTGTGAAGGATTTGCGGCAAGCGCATTGCATGGCAAGAAAATTACTAAAAGAAATTCTTCGTTTTGTTTTGGTCATTTTTTTTTTTTAATTTACCGTTGTCCTGGCAACAAATGCATTGATCTGGCAACGCCACAAGGCCAATGCGTGCCGTTGTGAATGGCAAAATAACCGTTAGGATTTTCCAAAGGGGAATTTGCAATATTTTAAAGTTGAAATTAAAGTGGAAATCCTTTCATGGATTGCAAACATGATTGCCCCACTTTTGAATTGATTATTAACTAATTTTAATTTAAATATTTTTTTAATTTTTAATCATAAGCCCTCCCTTTGCTTCCCGTCCAACTTTAATCTTAATTATTACAAAAAGTGCAAAATCCTTTCTGCGTTTACGGGCGGAACATAAAAATTCATGCGTGGATTAAGGATTACGGAGTACAGATTAAGACACGATAAAACAAGGATAACGTAGAAATATAGGTTGGCGGGGGTATGGGAACACGGGGATCCATGGGTATAACAAACAATGTGTGTGTGTGTGTGTGTGTGTGTGTGTGTAGGTAGGTTAGATGCCTTAGATGGGAATACTTCAGTAGAGCCAAATGTCCTCGAGGATGCCATTGTCGAGCTGTGGGGCCGGCAGTGCCTTCAGCGTGCGCAACGTCTCCATGTAGAAGGTGAGCTCTGAGGTGACGACGCCATGCTGCGGCCCCCCATTGTTGTTGATATTCAGCTTGAGGAGCTGCTCTCTCAGGCGATCCTTGAAGTTGCGATGCATCACGCCGTAGATCTCGTGGATTTGCGCCTCGGGCAGCACACCCGCAATGGCCTCGTGCAGCTTCACCAGATGCCGCGAGATGTGGCGAAAGGTCTGCGAGGGAATGGGCGGACGGGCCTCCCACGCCTCCAGCTGCGCGGCCACGCGCTCCGACACAATGCCGTGGATCTTGTTCTCGATCTCCTTGATGTGGCCCTGGTAGTCGCGTTCGATGGCCTCGTAGCCGCTCATCGCATGGAAGTGCTCCTTGAGCCGTGGCAGCAGCCACAGCACCAGCTGCAGAGCGCGCGATACCAACGCCAGATTGGTGCTGGTGATGGTCTTTAGTCCCGCCACCCGCATGGCGCCCGCTCCGATGATCAGTTGACAGCTGCGCGAGTTGAAGCAGCGCAGCAGATCCACCACGTTGCGCGCATGATAGCTGGCAAGGAGCGGCAGACGCTGGGCACTGCCCCCGTACTCGTACAGCATTTGGATGAGCATCAGCGAGGCACTGACCAAGGCATACGGCTGCTTGCCCTCCAACAGCAGCACGGGATTGCCTCCTCCGCCTACTCCGCCGTTGCTGATGAGCGTACCCTCGGGCTTGGCGTAGTCCCCCGCGGACATGCGTTCAATGATGCGCTGGAATTCGTGCGGTATGTCCACCTGGCGCCATCGCTCCTGGTCGAGAAGCAGCGACAGTTTGTGCTTGTGCTCGGAATGGAATCGCTGGGCGTAGCGGGAGGCCTGCACCTTGAGTGCGAGCTGCAGTGGCACGCTGGCCACGCCACAAATGCTCTTGGTCGTTTCGCTGAACTGCTCCACGATGTCCGACAGCTGGGAGAGCTCCTGCTCGCTGGCCGAACTCCGCTCAAGGCTCTGGGGCGAGACGATGTTGGCACAGCGCTCGTGGCAGTAGTGGCAGACGGCCTGCAGCAGCAACTGCAGCTGGGAGCGCAGCTGCTCGTGGTGGCCGGCACTGAGAAAGGCCTCCGAATCGATCAGATTGACGGTGTCCTGGGCCCCAACGGCGGCATCGGCCGTCTGCTGCATGATGCCCACCACAGCCTTGATCCGCTCCAGAATGGAGGTCAATGCCTGACTGGAACGCTGCAGCAGGGCGATCCACTCGGGAAGGGTCAGCTCCAGGGCCTGTTCGCCGGCGCCCGTCAGGCTGATCTCCTGGTCGCTGTCGCTGCGCGCGAGCACTTCGATGAGCAGCTGCTTGATGATGGCTCGAATGGTGGCGATGGCCTCCTGCTGATACGACTGCACAAAGGAGAAGTTCTGCTTGCGCAGCAGCCCCATCACAATGGCCACCAGCTTGTCCTCCTCCGCGCACACGCTGTCCGTCTCCAGCAGGCCCTCGGGCGTGAGCGGTCGGTTGAGGTCGGAGGCGGCATACCGCTCGAATTCCGTGGTCAGCATCTTGTCAATGAGCTTCTCCATCTCGCTGAGCTGCATGGGCAGATGCTTGAAGCAGTGCACGCCCAACAGCTCCGCCGAGAGTATCTCCTGCGTTGTGCCAATCAGGTCCAAGGCGGCCACATAGTCCTGTGTGCCGAGCAGCAGCTGCAGCATGGGCTGCGTCTTGTGCACCGTGGCCATCAATCGGAGCTTGTCGAGCGTTAAATTGTAGTGCTGGCGCCGCTTCGCATAGCGCAGCACCCTAAAGCTATCCACCACGGAGCTGTTGTGCAGCTGGGCGAGGGCCGAACGCAGCTGCCGCACCTGCTCGGCCGCCTGCTCCATCTCCGCGAGGATGGCATGCTGCGTGGTCATGGCATGGAAGAAGGCGGCGGATTTCTGTGACACCTGCTGGGCTATCTTCACCTCCACAACGTCCAGATACTGACTGAGCTGCTCCTGCAGCTGCCGTCCCGTCTGCTGGTGCGTGGCAGGACTCGACTCTGAGGATTGCATGAGGTCGGGAAAGACCTGCTTGAAGGTGGGCGCATGATGCAGCTGCAGCTGCGACTTGAGGAATATATCCGGCACGGAACTCAAATGCGTGGGACTTCCAATGGCTGCTCCCGTGCCATTCTCCTGCGGAATGTCCCGCTCCAGCTCCAGCTGCTGCTGCCGTCGCTCGTGCCAGCGATAGCGCTTCCCAATGCTGCCCAAATACACCGCAAAGTCCGCATGTGTAATGTCCGGCAGCCTCGTGGATGCTGCGACATGGCTGCGCTCCACAAACTGCTCGCCCCACTTTTTCGTAAACAGATTGCTCTGCTTGCCACGCGACGGATCGTTGAGGACGGCCGGCAGATTCTGGGCAGCCGAATAGACGCCCCACTCGGGCGGCATCTCGCGGGTGAGCTGATTCACGTGATACTTGGCCACATGCGCATCGTAGTCCCGATCCGAGACGCCGTCCAGCGGCAGTGAGGCACACACTCCGTTGAAGCCATAGCGGCACACAAAAGAGCCGCCCTCTCGCGTGCAATGTCGAGTACGCAGGTGACTAAAAATTGGACGTGGCAAGGGGAATTACTCATCCAAATCAGTTGTACATTCAACCGACGGCTGGATACGCACCTGACAAACTCCGGTATGCTCTTGAAATGCTCTCTGGTGCAGTAGTAGCAGCTCTGCCAGCTCAGTCCACCTGTGCTGCTGGCTGTGGAGAGCTTTCTGCTCCCCTGCTGCCCTGTCTCAGCATCTCCCTGGGTTCGCGTTGTGGCCATAACACATGCTTTGTGCTCCCAAATAGCTCGCCGTATGGTCGGTTGCTGTTGCTGCTGGCTGCTGCTGCTGTTGCTGTTGCTTCCTCCACCGCCGCTCAATCGTTGACGTGTTATGTCAATGTTTGCTTTCTGCCTGTTTCGTGCCGTCCATTAATGCCAAATGTTGCATTTTGTGCCCTGTCCCTTGGCTCCACTCTCATTGGCTATAAACGGCTGCTGGCCCTGGCATATTTATCGTTGATTTTCAGTGGTTTAATTGCGGCTGCAGTTCCCTTCCCTTAATTGAGCAATTTGTAAATGGAACAATATTTTGATGACGTACTGCAGTGTTGGAAAGCGCAGCGGGGTGGCAAGTGACAGCTCTACGTTCAGGCGTACACGTTCAGCCGTGCATGATAGAGTATGATGGATTATGGGTGTATTGTTATTGATAGATTGCAAAATATCAATACTTTTTATTTATTTTATTATTAAATATTAGAAATATTTGCAAGTTTAATAGCACTGATTTTATATTAAATTTGTTGCTTAAAATGTGACTCAAGTATCTGCTATCGTTCGATAGTTTTAGTTTTTTACTATTTAATATTTTTTTATTTATTGTTTATTATTTATTATTTTATTTTATTTGCAAAAAGTATTATATATATTTAATATGTTTCTTAAAATGTGACGAAAAGGTATCCGAATAGGTATCTGCAATCGTCCGATAGTTCTATTTGGCAGAGCTGAGCCATTTCAGAATGGAACTAGAGATCGGGTGCGGTTTAAGGAATTACTTTTGCCGCATTGATTGGACCGAGAAGACGTTGAAATTTGAGCAGACTAAAATAAAAAAATATTATAAAAAACATGCGTGTACTTTTTGCCCAAATAATAACTGAACATAAAAGTTATTTTTAGCAGTGAAATAAAAGTAATAAAGGTTATCAGTTCTCTCATAATCTAGTGAAAAAATAGCCGTGGAACATTTTTTTTGAATATATCGTATTTCTGTGCAACACAAAACCATTTCCGTGTATAGTACGCCCTGGCACGTGTGTAGTACGCCGCTTGCCGACAGACACTCGTTTTACAGCACTGTTCGCTGCTGGTGGCTGAAATTTGCAGCCTGTAGGTTGTGCCGGCTTTTTAAATCCGCGAGCCAACAAGTAAAATATAGAAAACAAAGAAAATAATACGTTTGGCTTGGCTGAAACGTAGCCATGCGATTGGCACGCCTTTGGGTCATGGGATTCACGTGGCTGATACTCGCATTTTGGCTGCTGCTGTTCTTCTGCTGGGACATCTTCGAGCAGTGGGACACCGTGAAATCCTCGGATCCCATTGAGGTGCTGTGGTGGCCGCAGTTCAGCTTTCAATACGAAGAGCTGCGACTATGCGGTGCCTACGAGTGCTACTTTACCACCAACCGTTTGCGCTTGCCCCGAGTGCGGGTTAGTCCACGAATAATCGCCACATTCGCTGGCTGCTGTGATACGCAGGGACAGGACAGGAAGAGAGTTTCATTATCCATCACTTTTTTCCAGGCTGTTCTCTTCTATGGCACGACGCTAACCACTGCGGACTATCCCCTGCCACGCAGCCCCCACCAAGTGTGGGCTCTGCTGCACGAGGAATCGCCCAAGAATGTGCCCTACATGGCCTTTGATGAGTTCCTGCAGCACTTCAACTATACATCCACCTTTAGCCGGTACAGCGATCTGCCGCTGACGACCCAGTGGCTGCCCAGTGCCCATGATCTCACCTCGATGGACTACGTAATGTCGTTTGATTTCAAGTCGTCGAATGTGAATGGGCCCTCGCCATCGGTGGTGTTCCTGCAGAGCGACTGCAACACCATGTCCGGCCGCGAGGACTATGTGCAGGAGCTGATGCGCCACATCAATGTGGACTCGTTTGGCAGTTGCCTGCGCAACAAAGATCTGCCCCAGAGGCAAGTAAATTTTGTTAACAAAGGAGGCTGCCTGCCGCTGCTGCCATTTCCACATTTTCCACACACACACACACATTCTCTGTCGTCTCTGTCGGAGTCGTACACAAAAACCTTAAAATATTCGAAAAACAATTTATTTGCTGCAACTAAAACGAAATGGCACCTTATAAGCGGCAGCCCAACCAGAAGCCGCCACCAAACATGCAGCAGCCGAAGCCTGGGAAGGCATCGGAGGGGACGGAGACCAAGATCTGTTGCCGCGACTGCTGGATTCGGATGTTCAACGAATTGCCGGGCACATCTGCAGCCGCCAAGGAGCAGGTTTCGACTGATTCGACTGAAGCAATTAAAGCTTCAAGTTCGCTCTCTAGCGTGCAGCTGCAGGAGGTGCAGCGGCATGCAGAGTGTCCCGAAACCATTGCCGAAGTGCACGCTGAACCGCGGCGCCAGGATAGCCAACAGGAAATGCGATATGTGATATGCGAGCAGAGTGTCGTGCATTGCCAAGAGGCAGAGAGTACCGAAAATCTAACCATTACCGAAGTGCACTCTGAACCGCGGCTCCAGGATACCTACGAGTCGATCCTTGATCGTTTCATAAGCGAGCGAAGGGCCCACAAGTCGGAAACAGCTGACTGGACACAGTCCTTTGGAATGCAGACCATGGCATCCAACTCGTATGAATGCCTTGATAGGAATGAGTATGGCGAGCGTCCAGTGAAGCGTCGTCGCATAGAGCGAACGCACGAGTGCCAGGGCAAGGACTGCAAGGAATGCCTGAAACTGAGGACAAGTGAAGACATTTTAAAGAAAGATTAATCAGTTAAAAAACCCACACAAAAACCCCCCCACACAGATATTTTCTCTCAAAATTAATTCCAGTTTCAAATTGTTTAAACAAAATTCATTTCGTTTCGTTGATTGTTTGCAGACTGCAAAATGATTATCTGAACAATCTGTATTCACCGGAAATGCTGCGCTTTCTAGCCAACTACAAATTCATGATTGCCATTGAGAATGCCGTCTGCGAGGATTACATTACCGAAAAGTTCTGGCGTCCCTTGGTAATTGGCGTCATACCCATTTACTTTGGTTCGCCCAGCATTAAAGTGAGTGGCTTGGAGCTCATACGAGCGTTCCATTAATCGATTCTGTATATTTTCCACCGTCAGGACTGGCAGCCACAAAATAAGTCTGCCATATTTGTCGATGATTTTCCCAATGCCGCCGCCTTGGGCCAGTATCTGATGGCATTGTCGGAGAACAAGACCGAATACAATTCGTATCGGGGCCACAAACTGAATCGCAGCCATCCGATACAAAACAAACGGTTGATCCGCGATTTGTTAACGCGTCCCACTGACATGACGGACATCTCGGCTGGACGTTCGGTCACCCGAGTGTTCGAGTGTGCCGTTTGCAAATATCTAAACACCTATCGGCCCAACGGCATCAAGCGGGCGAATGTGCGCCACTACAACTGTCCACTGCGGCCGATCCATGTGCCGCTGGAGGGCAGGAAGCGGCCGAAATACGCGGACGACTGGCGTTCGACCAATGAAGTGGGCCAGTGCCAGGCCACCATCCTGGACAGCTACCTACGCTCGAATGTGGCCTACAGCGAGGCGGACTTTGATGCGGAATTCAACCGCAGGCTGAATCACAATCTTTGTGCGGCTGTGCCAACATTGACACAAACATGAGGATATTTCTCTTGTCGTGACTTTGAAAATTGTTCAAAAAATATCTTTGGTTAAATATAGAAAAATGTCTGAAGACTTTAAGCATTAGCTTTAAGATTATCGAATATCGAATATCTAACGTGATAAAACTAACAATAAATAATTGAAGCATCCAAGATGCTGCAAGTATCTATGGATCTCTGTATCTGTACTCTACACTCTACACTTTAATGTTATGTCGATTTAATTATTTTATTGTTTAATTAATTAAATGTTAATTCATTTTTTTGTTTGTTCTCCATACTAATGTTAATTTGTCATCGGAAGACGAAGCAAAGACATTTGATTCCCCTTCACGTTGTCCGTACTGCTGCCAGTCCAATGTGGCAGCTTCTTCCTGCTCCTCCTGCACCTGCACCTTCTGTAGATCCTCTTCATGCTCCGCCTGCTGCTTTGGTTGCTCTTCTTCCTTGTGCTTATTTTGCTGCTCGTCGACCATCCCTTTGAAGGCTTCTTCCTCCTGCTGCTGCAGAGCTGCTTCCTCCTTCAGCTTTGCCTGTTCGGCCTGCTGCTGCTTCTCCAGAGGGAGACTGCCTGGCTTTGCCTTCCCTGCGTACTGGGCATTCGGAGTGCGGCCCAGGCGTTGCATCTCCCTGATGACCACCGTCTTGTACGAGGGCAGAGCGTAGCTACTGTCGGTGTCGGAGTCAGAGCTCAGCAGCTCGGAGTCACTGTCGGAGTCGGAGCAATCACTAAGCACTATGTTATTCGCCACGTACTCGGCCTTTTGGGTGACCTTTCGCTTCTTTTGGGGCACGGGCGCGGTCGGCTTGCAGGCGGGCCTTGCTTTCGGTTTGCCACTCTTGCGCTTGGCTGCCGGTTTCTTTGGCGTCTTGCGGGTCTGCGTGCGGGTCACGGGTCCACGTCGCTTTGGGGCCTCATTGCCTGCTTTGATCACAATGCCATCGCAGTGCGTGCAGCGCAGGCGTTCTGCCTGCAGATCCTCCTCATACCCCTCCTCGTCGGCGATGCTGCGCCCTTGATTTTGCATCGATTTTGGCTTACAAATTGGGCGCCGCGCTGCCACCAGATTGAGTGTGCGGTACGGCCAGCTGCTGCGTGGAATCAGCCGTGCCCCCGTGCTCTTGCATGTGACCTCCACCTCCCAACCCTCCTCGCTGGGGGCCTGCTCATTAATCTGCCAATAGTTCTCATGGCCCGGGGTACGCGAGTCGCTTAAAGTGGAATCTTTGCTCTTCTTAGCGATGATCTTGCCACAGGTAAGGCACAGCGGTGCCTCGCCTGGCTTACGCCTGCGTTGTGACATTTTTTACAATTTTTGTTTTTTTTTTTTGCAGTTACGAATATTTTTTTTATTTTAAATATTTCGTAGAAAATGGAATTTGTGTTGTTACTTCAAGTGGAACTTGTGTGGGAATGTGGAAATGTTGGCAATGTTGTGCCTACATTTTGGACGGCCTGCTTTGTGCTGGAAAAAAAATTCCAATTCGGGTATTTCTTGCTACCAAGTCAAAGCCTGTACCGACCGAGAAGTGCTGCTGCATGTCTAAAGGAAATATTCAATGATTTACGCTTCCAAATAATAATTTAATTTTCGCTCAACTAACAAAATGTTTTTTTATGCTTTGTTTTTTATAACGAGCTCTGCTCGCTGGCGTTCTACATCTGCCAGTGCATCGTGGGCATCACTTCCTTGAGCTGTCCCATATTGACCAGCCACATGCTGCCGTTCTTCATCATTTCGATGGCCTTGATCATCTGGCTGGCCGCCTCCTCGGGCATTTGGCGCTTGGCGCTCTCGATGGCCTCCACCATCGACTCGGAGTGATGCCAGGTGACATTGTCGCGCAGATTGGCCATCATTTCGGTGCTGGTCAGACCCGGACACATGGCCATGAACATGACGCCAGTCTTCTGGTAGATAACCTTGTCGCCCATCGAGCGAGTGAAGCCGAGTACGCCGTGCTTGGCGGCGGCATACACAGCAAAGGCGGGTGCTGGCTCCAGGCCGTAGACAGAGGCGAGATTGATCACCATGCCGCCCATGCCCATCTGGGTCTTGTCCATATAGGGCAGCGCCATCATAGTCATCATTATCATGCCAGTCTGCGCGAAAGGCAACCAAAATTAGACGGGGGAAAGCATTTTATTTACTCTCTCTCTCTCCATTCGCTTACCAGATTTATGCCCATTGTCGTCTCCACATCCTTGTCGAGCAGCACATCCTCGCCGTTGATCAGGACATCAATGTGTCCCATCATCTGGCCCATTTTCAGCATTGTCTGCTCCATGGACAGCTTGTCCATGAGATTCATTTGCATGAAAACCACCTTGACGGCGGGATTCTCGGCCTGCAGCTTCTTCATCATCTCCACATTCTCCATGCGATGCATAATGCCGATCATCTTGATCTTCTTCTGCATCAGCTGCATCATCATCTGCCAGCCAATGCCCGTGAAGCTGCCAGCATAGACCACATTCTTGCCCGTCCAGTCGAACATTTTTCAAAATTTGAATTTAGTTTTTAGCGGATTACAGTGGAGTAGAGAATGGCAGGACTCGGAGCGAGTGTTGTGTCTGACTGGGCAACAGAACTGCTGGCTGCTCTTATATAGGTGGGCCGTAATGGGCCAGCGCCCATCCAGATGTCCAACAGCAAAGCGTCGCCTCTGCAGAGAGCGAGCGAGCGAGCGAGCGAGCGAGAGATTATTTTGTTTGTTTTTTTGGCGAAATGCAATCTATGTGCCTATGGCAACGGCGGCCAGGGGGTCAGCGTGGTTAAAGATCCCTGCAGTTATTGATACCCCAATTGGGGTGACGTCTCTCTCTCGCTCTCTCGAGGGTCCAGCTGTTGCCACTTGCCGCCAGATAAGATCGCTATCGGGCTTTGAGGGCGTTGCCGTTGCCTTACCACCTGACAGACAATGTATTTATTTATTGTGTGCCAATTATTATTATTTTTTTTTTTGCTATTTCCCTTATTATAAATCTACAGAATAATTGCCAATAAAATGTGGCAATATTTGGGTAAAGTTTCATCAGATTTTTAGTTAGGATTATATTTTAAAGGTTTCACCAACTGAAGCATAAGAAAAACTTTGGAATAATGTGGGAAAAACGTAGAAATTTCCCTTGGAATGCAGACACGCATTAAGCAAGGATTTATCCTATAGTTAGGTGACACTTTTGCTCATTAAAAACTTGAGGAAATATTATAGATTAATGCTGTAAATGATTTCTGAAAGCAAATATCTCCCTAAAGCTGTATTCCCCTTTAATTAGCGCATGGATAGGGCTTTACCCAATGCATAATGTTAATTTTCACATCATAAAATAAAAGAAATCTTTGGCATAAATGTTGTCAGCGATCCTTGAACACATATTCATTCGAACCATAGAAAAAAGGTACCTTTAATGCTCTGAAAATTCCCTCTGCCCTCTAAAATGCAAGCTCTTTCTCTTATATGTACAATTTTAATATAGAATAGAAATTTTCTTAGACAATCACAGATGTTTAGAGGCTACAATGATGAGGTGGCTACAAATACGACCATGGATTATACTATATACAAATGATGATCTCAAGCTGTTTCAAATCAGACAGCTGCTCCTCCGAATAAATAATCTCTGAATTTCGCTTGGCAAGTATTGCTGCGGGGCGGGGGAGGGCGGAGGTTGCACCACTTCTCAGTGTCTGCATCTCAGTAGAAGTAAACTGAAAATCAAAGCAATCCAAGTGGGCGGGCCGCTGGCCAATCTCTGTCCACCGCCATCCGCATCCTGTGGTGCAGCTGTGGGGTGGCTGCTGGTGGCCCCCTCAGTGGTCGCCTGGCCATCGTATCGCAAGTCCGGATTGTAGTCGCCGCAGGTGGGAAAATGATCGGGCACGGGCGCCATTTGATCGTCGTCGCCCACCTTGAAGACCAGCGCCATGCCGATCTCCGCATGGAACTCGATGTGGCAATGGAAGAGCCAATAGCCAGGATTGTAGGCCTCAAAGCGGATGATGGTGTAGCCGCCATCCGGAATGGTCACTGTGTCCTTGACGGGCGGATTCACAAAGTTTCGTTTCAGCAAATTGAAGCGATCCAGGGATTTGATCTGCGGAAAAGGATACGAAATAAATTAAATAAAAAATTCTAGAGTGGAAAATTCTCTCTCTCTGTCTCTGTCTCTCTCTCTCTCTCTCTGTGTCTCTCTCTTACCATTTCAATGGTGACATTCTCGCCCAATCTCTCCAGAGCGAGCACGCGAAAGGCATTGCCATGCAGATGGAACGGATGATTGGCATAGTACTGGAAACCCTCGTCCACGATGATCAGCTCCACCACCGCATTGAGGGGCACCTGCAACACGTGGTGGCACTTGCAGAACTCGCTGCGGCAGTCTATGCCCTGCGCCTCCAAACTAGTCTCGTTGCAGAAGTCCGAGTCGCTCAATTGCTTGCGGGAGGGGAGCAGCGCCAGCGAGGGGAACTTCAGCGTAATGTGATTGAGTTGGGGCGTGTAGAGGCGATTCGATTGGGTCATGTTCATGTCCATGGCATACAGATCCTTGTCGTGGAAGTCCGGATTGTTCTTCGCATAGAAATCGTAGTACACAAAGAACTTGAAGTCGGCCTCCGGCTCGAGGGTGTCGTGATCGATGCCCGGCACCTGATCGTAGATGGGCAGCGCCCTCATCTCCGCCACGGTCTTGGTATCCGGATAGCCCGGTCCGCGGTTCATCACATTCAGCTCGATGCCCGGCGCCTTGTGGGCGTAGCTCAGCGCGGCGCTGGGCTCCTCATCGGGCGCGCCTTCGTACCGCAGAATGGCCACCTGGAAGGCGGAGGTGAACACCTCGCTGCAGTCCATCAAACCCTTGAGGCGCACCCAATAGTTGCCCACCGCCTGGTTGGCGTGCAGCACAAAATCGAAGCGTTCGCCGGCATACGTCACAATCGAACCCACCTCCATGGCCTCGATATCGAAGCCGTCCGAATTGATGGCCGTGAGGTTGTGCCCGTCCACCGAGACGACAATCGGACAGTTGAGATACTCGGCATTGATGATCCTGAAGCGATAGCGAACGCCCCGCTGCACACTGTACACCTGATGGGGCACCAGTTCCAGGGGAATCGCATTGAGGTTGCCGCGCTTCTGGCGCGCCAGCTGCACCGGAAAGAGTCGCGTGGTGTTGCTCTTGGCCAGACGGGCGGTTCGCGGCAGCGTTTGGACCACATCCACCTCTGACTTGGGCAACGGCTCCAGCGGCTTGGTGCTCGCTTTGCCCCTCGCCAATTGATGCTCCATCTTGGCCTGTGCCCAGATGCGATTGTAGTAGCGGCCCCGGCCATTGATCAGCAGATTGTGCGGCTTGTTGTCGCCGCGCGAGTGATGGTGACTCGCAAAGATGCTGGCGCCCGGCTCGTGGATCCAATCCTGGACGATCATCACATGTTCGCTGAGATCCAGATCGTACAGTCGGCCATGGGGCTCTGCGCTCTTGGGCTTGCGGATGATGAGAGCGCCAAAAACGCCGTCGCCCCGCTGCATGCCCGTGTGCGAGTGCCAGAAGTGGGTGCCCGAGAGATCCGCCGGGAAGCTGTAACGGAATGTGGCATGCGGCGAGATGGGGCACTGGGTGATGTGCGGCACGCCGTCCATGTAGGGCGTGTCCTTCTGGTGCAGTCCGTGCCAGTGGATGGAGGTGCTCTCGCCCAGCAGACTGTTCTTCACGTCCACCACGATCTGATCGCCCTCGCAGACCTCTATGGCGGGTCCCGGCATCATGCGATTCACGACGGTGATGCCCCGCTCCAGGCCATCCCCCAGGACGCAGTGGGGCCGCGCGCAATCCGTCAGATTGCGGGGACAATCGTAGCAGGCCTTGGCAAAGGTCTGATACCATTCGACGACGAAGGTGTAGCGACAGGTGAGGGGCTCGGCACCCGCCACACAGTCGCGACGGCAGGGATGCCTGCGGTACCATTCGGCTGTCCACGTGTCCTCCGTGTCATCCGCTTCGTCCAGCTGCTCCACGCGCACCGCTTTCAGGGGCCGACAGAAGGGACAGCAGTTCCGCAGCTCCACCCTGGCGGCGGGGCACTCCTCCTCCAGGGGCGGACAGGTGCGCTGATAGGCGTTGACAACAATCTGGCCACTGTCCAGGCGGCCGCACTCGAGCAGCGTGCAGTCGGCATCGTTGTGCCAGGACTCGCCGGGCGCATAGAGGGTATTATTGTGCTGGCAGTGGGTGCGCACGCACTCGCCACAGCAGCTGCCGGCGACGTTGCGCAGCTCCGAACCCTAAAAGGGGCATCAAAATATATCAGAAAATATTCTATATGGCTGGATATGCCAGATGTACGCACCACTTCGCAGTAGAACTCATTGCAGTCCACTTGGGTGACCACAATATGCGCCTGCGGATCCTTGGCCACGCCCGCGGCACACGAGTACACCAGACAGGGATCCTGGCTGGCAAACCACACAGCGCCCAGCTCCCTGCGGTATGTGGTATTGTGCTCTTGATACAAACAGAAGGTATTGCCTGGAAATTACATTAAGAAGAAAGAAATTAAATTAAATTAAAGTAAATTTAAGGAGAGCAGAGCAGAGCGCAGAGAGAGCTACGACTATTGTGTGTTTGCGCTGACAAACAATTGTTTAGCGACAATCCCTCTAGCAAATATAATTCTCCTTTGGCGTGGGGCCATAAACAATGGATAAAAGGAACAATTAACAGACGAATGCAAACAATCTGAGAGCTGAGAGCCCCAAAAAAGAAAACAAAATTCGCTTTTTGTTGTCATATCACGCGCCAGAGATTCATAATTTATGGGCTCATTTAATTGAATGCAGCGAATATAAAACAATGCGAGTAAGAATATGAGTAGAGTGCGAGTAACTCTGCATTTTTAATGATTATTATTTAGTGGGCAAATGTGCACTTCACGTGCTAATTGCTACGGGCTTCGGGGTTCCTTGAACTGTCCGGCTTTTGGGTATGATAAAAGTGGCAGCAAGCAGTCATAAATTTATGGTAGATTTTGGTTCCCATGGAAAACCGATTTCAATCATTAATGGCATTGGTATAAATAATTCTATATGATATATTGGTGCAACAATTAAGTTCAGATCTCTCAAATATATACTCCCATTTATGTTTATATTTATGGGCTAAATACAGTACTGATTCGTAAAGGAAATTCTTTAAAATTTAAATTTAAATTTTATAGAAAGTTATGCCAATCGCCTAACCCTCAAAGTCCCTCAATCTCTGTTACTTATGACAGCTAGAACTTCCCAAGAAGCTTTATAACTTATACCTATGCATATCTTTTTCCCCCCCAGCAATCTGTGATGATGCATCAGCACCTGTCATTGCCCGAACATCTGGTCCGGTTACCTGTTCTGGCATGTAGATTAAGGCAGACAACAGTTAAGAGGCGGCTCTGGAATGCTAATTAAAATGACATCAAGACCCGGATCGCAGATCGCAGATGGCGGATTGCGGGTCAGTTATGGGGTATGGGGTATGGGGGTATGAGGTATGGGTTATGCCACCTGATCCGGTTGCTCTCCACTGCAATTTGCCGGCCGCTTAACCGATCATTAAGTTACATGCCCTCCTCTGCTAGCCTTTACCCCTCTATCCCTATATTGTGGTATGCGTAAGCATGAGTCGATCGATCGATCTCAAGTGCTTAGATAAGTGCTTCACAGAGCCCGCCCAATAGAACCCAATAAATGTAGACCATAAAAATGGTTTAGCTGAATGCCAAAAACAAAGGGAAAACATGAGCATGAGCACGTTCTAATGAAAATTTCAGCGCCTGATTAGTGTCGATAGGAAAATCTCAGTGCAAAAAAAAATAAAAAAATACTCTCACATTAAAAACAAATTAAATTTACGACAGGCATTTGACTGGAGATTACGATAAGCCCCCCGCCCGATGGGATAGGGTTTCTAAGAATTAACTACTTAATGGGCTGCTAGATCTTAGATGGCAATCAGAGGTACATTAATGTGCAATATTTTGCTATATGTGGGAATAAATAATACACATAAAATGTGGTTTATATTTCCACATTTAATATATGGCACTCCTGTCCGATGGGTTTTCCAAACGGCAACAAAATATGCGTCAAACTTTTAAGGTTTTTCCCTCAGAGAGAGAGCGAGCCTACTGGGTTTTATTTGTACCAAAAGTAGACTTAAAGAAACTTCAAACTTCACTTAAATAAAATGGATTATTAATGGGAAATTTAACATTTTTTGTCTTGGCATGAAATATGGTTCTCAGTTCTCTGCCCATATGGGTCCTTCATCCTGGTTGGGGTTTCTACTTCTTTTATTTGTATTTGTATTTTATATTGTACATGCATGTTTTATATTTTGTTTATTTAAAAGAGGAAAAGAAGAGGCGTGCGCTGTCAGCAGCTGCTTGGCATATAAATTATTTTTGCGAGTGCTGCACGTAGCACGCTGCTGCTGCCTCCGTTAGGCGCGCTGGTTGTCTGTCAGTTAACCATTAAGGCCGCATTTATTGACTGCTTTTTGCAGCAGAAGAGACTGTGAGGGCGCTGGGCTGTGGGCTGCAACGTTTATTGGCTCGTTATGGCCATTATTATGATTGCCGCCGACTGTGTGTAGCCGCATTTGTTTAAGCCATCAACCATTTCGTTGATTATTTGCCGGACTTGCGCAAATTCACATGGCTCACAGGTCGACAGGGGGGGTAGAGGCTCTGAGTATTTTTAGCATGTGAGTGGCAATCATTATCATTATTTATCGTGTACATTGTCTAAGGAAAATACTCTCGCACTTCTCCACAATCCCATGCCTGTGTGTACACACATTTTTATTTAATGCTAATGCCCGCCATAATGTTGGCCAAGGTCGAAACCCGTTAATTGCACACGCCGAAGCTTCTTTCTTTCTTTTGGGATAGGTTTATATTATTTTTGTGGGCATAATGCAATTCGTAGAAGGAGCAATGCCCTAACTCCTAGGCAATATTTATTATATTTAAATAATAAAATTTAATAATTATTTTCTCTCATAAAATTAGATTTTCCAAGCAGAATTCCTCTTAAATAATTTTCCACTAATTAGTCAAGCATAAAAACTTTCCTAAAGGGTATTCCGTAGTCGCTGTAAATTATCTTCCACTCACCTGCTGTAGCATTTACAGTTTCCAAGCCGCTGGCATGGCACACTAGCTGTAAGAGCGCTGTTAAGGCATAGGCCAACATCACTGCTGTCGACAAACTCATTTTGTCATAATTATGGTTTACGTTTATTTAATTTGCGGCTATTGTTTTTCTTTCTATTGCCGGTCCCGTCTTTTTCCCCCTATTTTAGTGGTAATTGTCTTTTATTAAATTATTATTTTTTTTTTTTTTTGGGGGGGCGGAATTATTGGAATCGTTTTGCGGAAGTTTTTGTTGATTTTGGCCAACAATTTTTGCGTTGATTGCCTGAAAATGAGGGAAAAATAAATAATTAATACTTATGGATTCAGATTCAAGTCGAAATTACATGCGCTATGATTATTATATGTATTTATTCAGTTGGCTGATTTTTCGGCATATAATAAACATGTGTGTTTTTTTTTTTTTTAATTATTTTGCAGATGTTATTTGGGAAGAATTTACGTATCCGCCCAAAACGAGTTGCACACACATTAAAGATGTTTACTGATATTTTTAAGAGGCATTTTTGATGTTTATCGCGACTGAGAAGAAATGGTTTGATGCGGCGGGTTCAAGGCCAGCCATGAAAATGGAGAGTTATGGCTGGCACAGTGGCACAGGTAAGAAAATGCTGAATTATGCTTTTCATTTATTTTAGTTGATGTCTTGCAGTATTTATTATAAATTTATCATCTAAATTCAAAATGGAACAATATTTTATTTTATTTTATTTATTTTTGGTATCTTCTTTATGTTCTCCCCCCGCCACACCATCAACTTCCTGTCCATGATGTTTTCTTTCTTATTAACAATAACAATTACGCCTAATTGCTGCCACACCCATTGCTGCCCCAAATCAATCGGAATCCCTAACCTAACGCCAGCATCCTTTATTGACCCACGCGCCCATGTGTCCAGGCGGAAGGACACGCACATGGCATGGCCGAAAGGGCCAACATCTGAGGGAATATATTGTATATTGTATATTAAGTTAAGTATGATTTACGGCCTGACTGTAAATATCACTCATACGCTCTGTGGTGCCCCTGCCTATGAGAGGGACCTGGGAGAGAGTGTGTGCATTTGAGCCCTATCAGCACATGGCCAGCAAGTTGATTCGCTCAAGAAAAACATGCAGACACACACACAGACACACACACACCACACATACAGCACGTACAAATTTAATTAATTAGCACGCTGTTCCTTAAACACACACACACACAAACGGACACAGATAGGACTCACGGAGAGGCAGGACTCACGTCCGTAAGCCAAAAGTCCAGCCAGAGTCCAGGGACACACGCAGTAGGAACAGGGCAGGAACAGGAGGGGGAGGCATATAAAGAAAACTGCGCATAAATTATGAAAAAGCAAAAACAAGAAAATATAGAACGAAAAAATTGCGTGAGGCATTTTTCATACGCAATGTTGCCTTACGCTGCCATTTTCTTGTGGATGCTGCTGTCCAGGGGATGCTCTTTATGGCAACATTTCCATTGAGACATTGAGCAAGGTTTTCATTTAAGTAAAAGAATATTTTTTTCTTTATTTAAAACCCTCTTTTATCGCTCAGGGAATAATTCACCTATCTGATTCCTTTCTTTTACTTCCCGACAACTTTAGAGCATTCAATGGTCTTTATATTCCCGCTGAACCTTGCTCTAGAGACTTTCCATAACCGCCAGTTTTATTTGGCAACACTTAAAGCATCTTAAAGATTTATGTACTACCTCGAGGCTACCTGGGGGGGGAGCTACTGCTCTCTGTTGTGTGGATTCTACGTGGACGCACAAAACGCACTTCCGTTAATTAGGAATTAAGTGTCCGCCTACGTGGCACTTCATAAAAGTCGTCACAAGGAAAACAAAATAAAATAAAAATAAAACCTTGAGAACCCTGAAAACCCCGAAAGCTCCGAAATTCAATGTAAATCTATTAAAAAGATATGAACGGAGATATTTACCGGATAATTTAATTTTCAAATGCGAAGACGGAACTTCGTTTGTTAATGAATGCCTTCTGGACGGGGGAATCTCGGGGAGTAATCAATCAAAAGAGCAAATATTCGATGTGGGGAATGGGGAATATAAAAGTGAATGGCGCTTCATGATTAGGGTTCCCCCTTAAATCGCAGTCAGATACAATTATATTTCTGATCATCTTGCAAGTATCTCAAGTGGGATTTTGTTATATTTGCGGGCATGACTAACCGATTTGATTGCGCCTACTGTCAATTGTCTAATACTCTTTGACAATCACTTTAATTAACATGCATCTTTGGCTTTTGACGCGAGGAATGTCACGTGGAGTCACAACTATTACTCATTGTATTTTCGAGTATGAGTATATGGTCTAAACGCTTGATTTGATCTATAATTAAAATCCCGCCACAAGGGTAATCCCTGATAATTAACACCTAATGGGAATGCGGCGACCTCACGCAGATTGTAATTTCCTTGCGGTGTTGGGTTTTTATTTGACTAAAGTGTGGGCTGGGCTTCGGTTCTGCTTCAGTGGCCACTGAAGTTCCCCGCCAAATATAATTTACATAATTTAATCATGAGAAATTGGAACAATGAAATTATTAGATGATGGAATATAAAAAGAGAATTCCAATCAAGGGGGTTCTTGGGAATGTTTATAGATTTAAGGTTGGGTGTTTAAGGGTATTTTTAAATCTATGGAAATTTAGGGAATCTTTTTGCGCGATGATAGAACCTATTGAACCTTAGTATTCCAAGTATTTACATACATACATATATGCAAAAACCATTCATAAATAAATCAGTGAAGTAACACACCCACTTGATAGATCTAACAAATAACGCAAAATAAATTAAAAAATTTAATTAAATTTGTTTAAAGGGAAGCCCCTTCGAACTGGTAGCTGCGTATTTTGTTAAGAAATTGATATTATTTAATCACATGCAACTTTCAAAAGAGATTCGATTCTGAAGATGCCCTGAAGATACAAATTTTATGATGCTGCCTGCCCTCCTTTTTTTATGGGCAATTTCTTTTGATGGACAACAACTAAAATTTCACCGCCAATTAATCTGGCAATTGTTGTTATGCAAAGTTTGTTTTATTATTTATTTGGATTTTTTTATATACGTACGGACGGAATCACACGTCCGTAAAATGATTGCATAATACTGCCTACATAGCGCAGTGCTTTCCGTTTCACATTTTTACATATAATTCAAACTATCGAGCGAGGGCTTAAGTATTGTAATTTGATTTATTTGTGAGTGGCGTCTTCGTCAGTGGCATTCGGCCACTTATTTTGACAACAATTAGCTGACCGCATTTTGATCACTTTGTTGTTATTTTTTTTTGGTTTGGTTTGTTGTCTTCGTGCCAACATTTTGTTGAGGTAGGCAGGCAGATGAAAGATATGGCCAAAAGAGGGAATGGTGAGTGGAAGATTTTTAAGCTGCTTATCATACGAATTCGCCGAAAGGGAGGCAGGGCGGTGGATTCCTGTTTTCTCCTCTTGGGAAACCCCTGACTTGTCATACATCTCGTTGGGTGCCTGGTTCTGGCCATCATGTGCTAGCCATGGCCAAGCCGGTTTTTGTGGAACCAGTCTTTAAGTATTTCGCTCATTACAGGCCGCACAAAAGCCACAACAAACTCTGCTCTGGGGTCAGGTGTGAGGCGCCACAAACCACACAAATATTTACCCAATTTGTTTATGCTTATTCACATTTGTTAACCATATTTTTAGTGAATTTTTCTACTCATGATTGATGAAGATTGAGGGGTTTTTCTTGTAGATAGAATCTTTGGAATGCTGCTCAGCGTTATTATTTATGGCGCTGCTTGTGGCATTTATTTTTCAATGTCAAGGCCGTTTGTAAGTCTGTTCGGATGGGGCAGTACAGAGCCAGAGGCTTCTGAAGAGTGGAAATCGCCTCTGGGAGTTTCTATAGTTTGTATAGCATTGTATAAGATGGTGGTCTGGCTGCCTTTGTGGGTCATAATGACTTGAAGTTAGTTTTGTATAATATTTTCTATGCTTTTTTGAAGACTTTCAATTGTGGAATGAGTTTCAGGTTTTATATTGTTGCATGATGTCATATTTAAAGCCAATAGATAAGGCTAAAAATATTTTTAAATATAAATAAATAAATTATGATTTTTGAAGAGTAGGAAACATTTTTTGTCTCTGATTTTTTAGGAGTACCAAAAATTAGTCAAGATCTTTGTCATCCACAGAGAAAAATGCATCAATCCTTTGGGATATTCTCAATTATTTCACTTTGCTTCCAAATCAAATTTCACAATTACGCCAGATATTGTATTCGTTTTTGTATCAAAGTTTTTGTTTATAAAACCATCTTTATGGACACACAATTAGAGCATTTATGGGTGACTTGTGAATTGTGATAGCCAGCCCCCAGGTTCACAATGGTTCTCTTGGCTCGCGGCTCTCGGCCTTATCCCCAGCGATGGAGACTTATCACACGACTGGCTGGGCCTTATGATATCACTAAATACACAACGCGACCAAAATTTTATAGCACTTAGATTAGGGTTTTTTTTGGTTCGAGTCTCAATCGCAGACGGGCAGTGCAAAAAATTTTACAGGGTAAAGTCCTTACAGGGTTTTCCACAGGCAGTGATCGTTTATTTATTTTTTGGTTGTATTCGAACCGCTTCGATAGATCCGCACCGTTCGCCGCTTAAACCGCAACTAACTCGCGCCGAGTGCAGCTAAGGCGCTTTTGAAGCGGCAAAAAACGCGCTAAAACTAAAGCAGGCCCAGTTTATGGCCAACTCGACTCGACTCGACCCTTTCTTGCTGCTGCTGCTACGTTCGGCTGATAACAAGTACAGCTCGGGGGCCTGAGCATGATCGTTCGTGTTCAGTCAGCAGTCAGAGAGAGGCAGAGAATGGCAGCGAGAGAGAGAGAGAGAGCCAACGATCGAGAGAGAGAGAGAGAGAGGGGGCTTTTGGTTTTTGCCGACTTAATTAGCCCGCACTTGTCGCTGCCCAACGTGTGCTGCTGCTGCTGCTGCTGCTGTTTACATTGGTAACAGTGTAGACACGTTAACAGAGATTTCCTATGCTTATCTCTGCTGATTGCTCCAATGTTAAGAATGTCTCTTGCATCACAGAGGCTGCCGACTGCTTCCGTGTGTGTTGTCTCTCTCCCTCTCGCCCTCTCTCTCTCTCTCTCTCTTCCACTCCTCCCTGGCGCAGAGATCGTTTTTCCTGTTTATTTTTTTTTTTTTTTGCCGATTTCTTGCATTTATTAAAACTTGTAGTTTTCGGTCGTTGTTCTGCCTGTACCAGTATTTGCTTTGATATTCTAATTTAAACCAAATGTTCGGGCTGTAGTTTGCAGTCTGCGAGAATTGTGTTTAATTTTGATTGGTTTTTTTTTTGCACTTTTTTCATTTATTCTGGAAATGTTTGAATTTGGTTGCCAGGGCTGGGATTGATGACGGTAACTGGTTATTTGGTTGTGTATTTTAATGTTTTGAGGGAGCTTAAAATAATGAAAGATGTTCGGAAAGGTTTCAGGAATAATCTTAGCTTTACGCTAAAAAACTCTAAACCCCTAAAGGAGCATTCTTTCATGCTTAAGGTACGGGGAACCACCGCCTGAAGCTCCTTTTTATGATATTTATTCATGGATTCATCTGATATTTTATTTTATTATGCATTATTCTTTTTTATAGCCCACTATATCTTTTAAATTTATAATATAATAATCAAATTTCATCCATAAATGGCGTATGCTCCAAGAAATACGCTGCAGATCGGGGTTTACCCTGCTCCAAACCCACTTCTAACCCGTAAATAGTTCCCAGTGTATTGTCAACAATATTCACCACACAAGCAGACACACACACACACACACACTTGCAAAGAGAGAGAGAGCTTTACTCTCTCGAGAACTTCATCCGGCAGCAGCAGCATCCTCCCATAGCCTGCCGAATGCGATGGCTCCACGAAGAACGACGCGATGAGCCGACGACGATGACAAAGAGGAGCCCGCCCGCCCGGACAGCGGTGTTTGTGTGTGTGTGTGTGTGTGTCCCCGAGGCACATGTATTGGCGGCGTTGGCATGTCCTTTTGGCAGGCTGCGCGATGCGTTCAGCGTTCAGCTTTCAGTTCGTTTGTAGACGTGCGTGCGGCAAGAACCTGCCACAACTTCGGACCCTGTGTAGGAGCAGCAACGCGTTATCCTCATCGCCAACTGAATGATGGACTGGCGGCAGGCAAAGCTGAGAATGTGCTAATACGAGAAAGAGGCCCCTGGTCCAAGTGTGCCCGTCTCCGTGTCCTTTGCGAGGGACGAGTGCGTGCGTGCGTGCGGTGTGTAAATGTGCGAGACAGTGTCCTGCGGCGGACCAGCAGCTTGGTTGCTCCTCCTGCCAAGTGTTTAAGTGTGTGCTCCCCCACCCCACCCACAGAAAAATACGATAAGTAAAGTTACAAATCTCCTGCCACTGCCACTGCTACTGATGCTGATGCTGCCGCCACTTGTGTTTTGGTCGAAAGTTTACCGAAAGGATTAAAGCCCCAGCACTTGAGCAAGGACTCCAGCAGCAGCACTCCCTGCTGCGGAGGTAACTTGTCTAGTTTTATTTGGTTTGGTTTCTTCTGTTGCTGTTTTTATGTGCTGCTCCTGCTCCTGCTCCAGCGCCTGCTACTTGCCTTTGTTTCCCAACTTTAATGCGGCCCAACAAACTCGTGTTGGCCCTTTGGTTCTGCTTTCGGCTTTCGGTCTTCAGGGAGCCATAAAATAAATCAGCTAAAATATAGGTGCCCCTTTGTGCTGTCCCCAGATCTCCATAGCGCAGAAGATAACATATGCAGAAAAGGGGACAAGGCTTAAGGGCTGTACACGAATATTAGCTGCATTTGACAGATTTAATAAGCAAGATTTAGGTACAAAATATGCCTCTAATTTATCCAGATTGAATAGGCATTGAAAGTGACATTATGAGTCATGTAGAAAATGCATTTAAATATAGATTTTTTATTTCAGAATAAACCATATCTATCTCTGTCTCTGTCTGTCTCTTGTGTGTCGTGCCGCTTGTTTCTTTTTGTTGGTAAGGGTTTAATTTATGGTCCTTTCAATCTGAATCTGGCCCTATGCCCACGGATACATTTGCCCCGAAACTTTTTTGTTTCACTGTCCAGCATTTTACGAGTGTGTGTGTGTGCGTGTGCCGTGCCACATACAATAAACATCAACAAAAAGAGCTGTAAAAGCGAGAATGCCAGTTAACTTTCTTCACATTTATCAAAGTTTTTTCTTTCGTTCTTTATGCGAGGGAAGAGCCCTGAAATGCCATGAAAAATCTATGCGTAATTGAGTTATGAGCCACGACCCACGTAGCAATAACCAGGACCATAACCAGGACTACTACTTAAGCAGACGGTTGCATTTATAGAGCCATCCACAGATGCTTAAAAGAGGTGGAAAAACGTCAGGAGGGGAACAAAGACTGTGGACAGCACAGCACAAGAAATGTAATTAAGGCGCCATCAAATAAAAAGGAAGACATCAGACCGACAGACAGACAGACAGTGAGTGCCATAAAGCATGTACGCAAACCGAAATTAAGGCATAAACTACAATTGCTCAGATTATTGCACGTCGTCGTTGTTATCGTCAGGGTTCCATTTCTGTGTGAAAATGGTATGGGTATGGGTATGAGTCCTTTTAATGGCTTTTTGCTTGCTTTATAATTTTGCGATTGCCATTGTCGTCACTGGCACTGGAACTGGCACTGTAATTTTCCTTTATCGAACTGTCATTTGTCCATGGGACCATCGTCTGCCGTCTGCCGTCTCTGGCTTTGTTTCTGTTTCTGCTGCACTCAAGTGTTGCTCAAAGGCAAATGGGGCGTATAGGCAATATAAATAATTGATGTCCAAATTGGAAAATGACCTGCAAACAAATAAAATTCTAATTATAGCTATTGTCATATGCAAAATGGGCTGAACAAATGGGGTCATTGACTGTGGAATAAATAGAGCAGAACACACTCTGAAATATTGCACACATTTTTAATGATTATTTCTAGAGGGGAAAACGAAAGTTATCCTAACTGTGCTCAAGCGTTTTCCAATATGCCTTTATACGTCCACAATTTCCGTTAATTTCCATAGACTTTTCGTGGAAAATGCCACACAACAAAATGACTAAAAGTTTCCCTGTTGACATTTAACTTTAATGATTATTGACAAATTCCATTAAGATTTTTGTCCGCAAAAGGCAACACTTCTCCGCTCTGAATGTCACTTAATTTGTCCATTAACTTTTGCCATTCGATTTTCCCCGCCCGAATACCCATAATGGTTATTACATCATTTTGTTTAATGGCAAAATTACCCCAAAAGCAATCGCAAAGGGAAAGGGATAGGGAAAACCCCATTCGAAAAATGCATAATGTGGGGGAAATTATATTTATAGTTTTCTATCAAAGTTCTGTAACGTTTTTTTTTTTTTTTTCAGCTTTGATTCAAGTTTTTTCGAGTGCTTAAAGTTTTCTTTTCAACTTTCTAATAATTATTTTCAAATTAGTTGCTCCAAAAAATTTGCATAGAGAAAATATCTTTCAGGTGGGGCAGCCTCAAGTCTATGAGCTGCTTCTCATTAATTTTCCGCTTGTCGCCAACGAAAGCCGCCAGAAAGTTTCAAGCTTTTTTCCTTATTGATAAAAATGGGCTACAGTGGAAAAGTTGCAGACCACCAGGGGGGGTGATGACAGGTTGGGTCCCCGGGTGCCGCAGGTGCCTCATCTGCCATGCCAACAGGTTATGGAAAATGCCAGGGAAAATGGTTAACGAAATGAGCCCAAACGCGTTCGCATTTGCAATGAAATTCCAAGAAAATGCCGAGGACTAGAAAAATGTTTCATTTGGATGCCTGTAGTGGGGGTGGGGTGGGGTGGAGTGGGGAGTAGGTGCTGTGAAGGCTGTGGGGGTTAGGGTTAGGGGATGTCATTGACGACAGCTGCTTTCATGTCCTGTGACCTACTGACTCGCGTAGCCTACTTTCCGGGCGCCTACCGAGCGGGAGTACGGATACGGATACGGCACTCCAGTACTCCTGCCGGAAGCTGCGCTTAATGTCTGAAATGTGCTTGCTGGCTGCATTTCTCCCCGCTGACACAATTAAGTGCATGAAAAATACTTTGCAAATTTAATTAAGGATCCCCACCCTCATCCTCCCCACATAACCAAGTAAATTTTGCTGCAAAGGCGTGCACATTCTCGGATGTAGTTCGTCTTCGTCATGTCTTTTGTCTTGTGGCTGGCATGATCTCATCGATGCCTTTGCTGTTCCCCGACATGAGGCTACGGCGGCTCGATAAGAATTTATGATGTAGGTCTTGGATAGACAGAGGGAAACTACATAGATGTAGTCGGAAATGGAAAATGTGATATGAAAAGATAGCACATGACAAGCGGCAATCATTTCAGAGATACTTTTTTTCGTTGCGAAATTTGTGATATATAGGAAGGGGCTCTAGTTTGCCTCTAGTGTTTGCTTTATATATTCATGGATTTCTCTATGTAAAGTTTTATTTTGATTGCAAATTATTACCCAATAAAATCATTAAAAATGACTAGAAATTTATGCAAACAATTTTTCAAGCTTAAAAAAATGCCAGATTGAATTTATAATTTTATTTGCGTTCATTGCACATTTACAGGTACTTAACAAATTATATTTTAGGCAAAAACTTCCCTCCCCAAATATTGATTTTGACCGTCAAACTGGCCAGAAACTTCCGTGGGCCACTGTGTTTTTATTCAAGATTTGTTTGCATAACCCATAAAATGAGTTTTGCATAAAGATTCAAATTAAAAACGAAAACGAAAGGCACAGGATGCACAGGCGTATGCACTGGGGGAAATATGCGAATAAGAATTTAAGCAAAAAGGAAAAACAGGGAAAATATAAGTAAACCAAGGGGACATACATACATATATGTAACTTTATTGCAAAAATTCATCATGCGGTTGCAGAGATTTTCTGATTGAAATTGCCCTTGGTTTTCTGTCAGTGTATGCAAACAATTTAACATCATCAAACACACGAGATTCGACAGCAAAACAATCTCTGATTTTACCACCGACAAAATCCAAAACACCTGAAGCAAACACACACGTGGATCCGATCCAGAACAGATTTTGCTGGGGGGGTTTTTGGTGGGTTTTAGGCTTTGGATACTACACCCCCAAAAATGTAATTTAAGTTTGTAAAACATTTACTTTATGGCAAATAAAATGTCAGTGGAAATGGCAGCACTGGGAGTACTGGCACTGGTACTGGTACTGGTATGTGTTTGCCCTAACTTTGGGGGCAAACATGTTTGCTTTTAATTAAAGCCCTAAAGGAGCAGAGGGTGTGGACACACGAGACAGTCAGGCGGACTACAGATGGACTAAGCAAGGAGCTTTTTGACTGCCGCAGCCGAAACTGCGATTACCGATGCGGAATTGCATTGAAATGAAATGAAATGAAATGAAATATTTGTTGTTTGCCATATTTGTGTGTAAAAAAACAAGAGAAACAAACAGGACGACTGCAATATCTTTTGCATATTGAAATCTCCTGATATTTATGTGTAAATGAAAATGAAAAGAAAATCGTTTTCCAGACCGGCAGCCTGCCAATGCCAATGCGCCTCATGCCCCACTAGTCCCCACTGCCAGTACCCATTTCTGCATGGTTCAAATATTTGTACATGTCAAATATGAAACATGACAGGGAAATGGATTTCGAGGCGATGTAGTGGATACTCTTTGCTGGATAGATTGCTGCTGGGGAATATTTGGATATTGGTTTTCGATTTTTAAAGCCATCCACAGGGACTTCTCTTTTCTAGGAATAATTGTATCTTAAGTTAAAGCTGAATTTGGATATGGATATGGCTGTGGATGCTGTCAAGTAATAATTATATTTAATTTAATGGGTTTTCGAATGGCAAACAGAAACATAAAACCATCTGAAAGGGCATCTGCGGAGCGTGCACACAGGTTTTGCTCCTCCAAAAGTAAGCACTAAAATAAGTTACAAATACACACTCATACATTTAAACATTCATAAGTATGCGTATATGGGGAGCATACTCATATATATATATATATATATATATAGACTGCAGTTGGCTGCTGCTTTCAGGGCCATCCTGAATCCTGTTGAAGTAGCCCGTCCTCGTTCCTCCCCGGCAAAAAAGGGAGCATCAGATCTTTTGCCCAAATGAAAGTTGAGTGATGCGATGTGTGTTTTTCTTCTTTTCACCCCATGAAAATGCACCAGAAAAACCAAAGTTTAAGTACGACTACGAGTACGAGTACGAGTCGGAGTCGGAGTATTCTTCAGAGTGAGAAATCAAAAGGGAAATATAAATCCCATTCCGTGCGGACAGCTGCTGGCGGATATTGATAATAAATCTGATGTCAGAAATTTCACTTTTCTTTCCACTTTTAGTGGTTGTTCTTTCGTTGAGTTGCGTAAAGTGTTTATTGATGAGCGGTGCGGCTGCATTTTTATTGCGGGAAATGTTCCAGGCGGAAAAACATGGCGCGCCTCCCCTCTCTCTCTCACTCACTGCAATTGAAATATTTGTGGAAATGGATTTTTGATTTATGTTTGAACAGTGAGTTGTTTCTTGTAGCGTTTTTTGGGTGCTATTTTATTCAGTTTTTAATTTATTCAGGAATATTTCTTAATGCGATTTTTTTTTGTCATACTTTTGAGACTTTCTTTGCATGAAATTTGTATGAAAAATTACATTTCTTTGAGTTAAAATGTAACTCAAATTTAATCTAACTCCAAAGGAACTTTCACTTTTTCCTCTTTGCATTTCCATTGAATAATCATTTGCATAATTCACACTTTCTGCAGAGATTCCTGCTGCTGCTCTCCATCGCGTTCCCTAATTATTTATGCATCTATCAAACATATTTCATTGTGGGCGAAATAATAAATGGCATAAATTACAATTCAATTTCTTATGGTCTATTATTTAATGCCTTGTTATAAGCGGGAGGTACAGCCACGCCCCCACCACACAGAGGGGATACATGTATTGTGGAAGCCATAAAGTTGAAGCTGCTGCCAAATAGTAATCATATAAATATATTCTCTGGGAAGACTAAAAGCAAAAGAGATGAACAACAGACGCGCCCTGTGGATAATCCCATTCGGTACAGGCCAATGATTTCTTATAGCGAATCCCAGACCCACCCGTCCCCCCACTCTGTGCACAGTGTCCTTTGCTGCTGTGTCCTTGTCTTGGCGTATTCATAATTCGATTTCTCGTGCTTTTCCCTGGCTTTTCCTTGAGGTTTTCCCTCTACTTAGAGTCGCCCCATTTGCTGAGTCTCGTCTTTTGCCTTGGCCAATGTTTTTGCGATTATTCCGTGTATGTGTGTGTGTGTGTGTGTGTGGGAGATCCCAAAGGATACGATATGGTGGAGTTGGTCAGACAAACGAATTATGGATTTCTTGCTATTATCATGGCCCAATGCTCTTTTTCGCCGCTCCGCTCTGGCCACTCCCCCTCCACGCCTCATCCCGGATTATTGAGGCTTTCTTTTATTGCTTTGGACGGGGCTGAAAGAAAAGGGACCTTTGCATTCGACGTGTTCTGGTTAACAGATTCACTGCGATTTTCTTTGCTGGTGTTTTTGTTTTTTTTTTGTATTTTGTATTTATGGTTCCCATTGGAGTTGCTCTGGTATTTATATACCTAAAGGAATGCTACTCCATGTTTCTGCGATATATTTTTGTACTCATTTATTATGGATCTGGCGCTGTCACTTTATTTATTGAAAAGTTTACCAAGCATCGCCCACAAAAGATTCGAATCGAGTCTGACGCTCAGTCGCAAAACTTTTTGCTGTATGCACTTATCTCTTCTCTCTTCTCTGTCCCCCCACTGATAAATGAAGTATTTTTAGACGATGGAATCCCTCTCTGTGTGTTGTTTGTTTGTCGTTTGGTCTCCTCCTTGCTGCATTTTTGTGCCTGCAAGCAAACAAAAGTCACAAATAGTTGCCTGGCTCATTTACAACATCAGAGAGCCTTGCCATGCCCTGCCATGCCTTGCCTTGCCCAGCCCTGCCCTGCCTTGGAATGCTTGCAATCAGTTTTGATATTATTTTTTGGTTTTTGCTGTAGTTTTTTTTTTGGCTGTCTTTGTGTTCTGTCTGTTTCCGCTTTGGACAATGGACTGAGGAATGACCTTGTCCCCAGAGAAACTCAGCTGTTGTCTCTCTACCGCTCTCTCTCTCTCTCTCCCCTCTCTCTGTGGAGCAGGAGTCCACTTCCTGGCCATTGATTTTCGTGCCCTTTCTGCATCTCTAACTCGACTCGATTTATGGCTGCAGCAGCACAAGGGGAAACCCCTCTCTTTGGTTTGACCCCATAAAGTTTTCTCGTATTTAGTTTTGTTTTGTGCGGCTCAAAAGTTTTCCCTTGCCCCACAAACAGAACCAGCAGCAGCAGCATTCAGTTGCCAATTCAGTTGGGAATCAGCATTATCTTGCTGTGTTTTGCGTGTGGGTTTAATCAGTGTATTTAATGTGGCACACGAGTGACACCAAGGCGAACGCGAACGCGAGCGTCGCTGTTAATGCAATTAAAATGTACCGAAAAAAGCTGTGCATTTTTCTGTGCCATTTTTGTGGCACTTCTGAGGCCTGTAACGGACAGATAACATAACAAAAGGAAAACTTTTGTGCCTGGCTGCTGTTAGTTTAACCTTCGAAAACAACGGAAAATAATTCTCCTGCCCTCCTCCTGTGGCCTGCAGGCGGCATACGAAATTGGACACAAAATTATTATTCAGTTTTGCACAAAATTTGCACATGGGACTGGCAAGGGCACCGGCACGGAGTGGCATCAATCGCAAGGAGGAGCCAGGCCATCCTTGTTGTACAACTGATTGATTTGAGGGGAGTCATCGAGTCGATTTGGGTCCTCCAGGCAGCAACGAAGGCAGAAGGCAGAGGCCAGAAGTGCCACTAACAGGCAGCGAGTCAGTGAGGCAGTGAGGCAGCGATTCAATGAGGCAGCAGCAGTACGAGTGGAGGTGAAGTGGAGGCCAACAAAGCGCCAAAGACAAAGCGCGAATCGAAAGCACTCAACGATTGAGGAGCAGCAGGGAGAGCAGGAGCAGGAGGAAGAGCAGGTTGCTAGCCCCAAACTCTGCCACTGGCAATCCCAATGGTGCAGGCATCAGCAGCAGCGGCAGCGGCAGCCACTTAATGAATGGGGAGAACGAAAGTCTTTCTAAACGCCGCAGAGATTGATGACGCACTTGATGCTGCCGCAGCTGGTTGACTCCTGCCACTGAGCCACTGAGCCGCTGTGCCGCTGTGCCACTGTGACTCTGATGCTCACTCCGAGTCTCTCGCTTTGCGCTGTCCTCGCTGCCGTGTCGAGTGTCCCTTTTATAAAGTCAGTCACTTGGCTGATCAGTGGAGTGGTCTTGTCGCCGCTGCTTCTTTCTCTGACTTTTCTGCACTTAACCAACATTTTGTCATGGACCATTTTGACAGGGAACACATGGCCCTGCCCACACGGACTGGCTGCCTGCTGCTGCCTGCCTGCCACCTTTGCTAAAGTGCGGCCAAGTAAAAAATTTGCATACCCAGCAGAACAGCAGAATACAAGAGAACTGAATGTACGACACACACACACACACACACACACACACACAGAAAATAAAAAGGAAACACGCGGTCGGAGCCGCGTTGCAAGTATCTTTTGGCCCAAAAATTGTTACCATATAACTGCCGCAATGATGAGACACCAAAAATTTCCCTCTGGTTTTTCTTAGGGGCTTAACTTTTACTTCTTCTTTTTCCCGTTGCCCGTTTGCTCTTTTTTTTGTATTGTATTTTTGTATTTTTTCATGCCGCACGATATTCCCCACATTGCCTGCTGCAGGGGCCTGGGCTTATGGGGCGTATGCGTAATTTCTGTCAGGATTTCACTCAGGTCCGCTCGCTCTGCTGCGGCGCTGCTCCACATTCTGATTTGTGACAAAGCGAAACGATGAGACGCGCTTTCCATCAGAGGCGTTTCCTGGGTGTGGGGGGGTCTCAGCGAACCAAAAGGCTCCTTTTAAATGATAAATTTAGCTAATAAATTGTGTCGCCATGGGAGTGGAATACAAAATACAAGAGATACATTTCATAGGCATTTGGAAACATTTAAGTTGCGATTTTACCTTTACATTTATTTGAGCTTTTTATATCTTTAAAATCTCGCATAACTTTGCCACATTTTCAACGAAATTCTCTGGAATTAAATTCGTGGATTTCTTCGACTTTCACTTGGGTCAATGACAGCTGTCAATCGTATCCACACATTTTGCAACACACAATTTGTGAGGAGAAATTGTATTTTTGGGCACAATTCGCCCCCGTGGGCGGCGTTGAGGTGTTTGCAGCGGGTGGGGCTACAATTTGATTGAATTTGATTGTTGAAGGCCTCAAACTGTTGCTGACAGCTAAACAGAGGTGGCAAATTGTGTGACAGATGGGAGAACCAAGGGGAAATATACATATGCGAGTACCTTTAAAGTGAAGCCAGAATTTGCTGCAGAAACTTCCACAAATTCCAAAAAGCAATTTTCCCCACATTCCTGCAGGCACTTCAGGAATCCCTTTCTCAGCACACACACACACACACACATGCGGAAAAATATCTAATTAAATTTGCGTTTGTCAAAGGGAAATAGTTTTAATGCAGCAGCAGGACTCGCTCGTCCTGTGTGCACTTTCGCAACATCCTGGGGATTATGGCTGCCTTTGCCAAAATATGTGCATGAATTATATTTTGGTTCGTATTTGTGATAGGGAGGACTGGGAGGATACTCTTGGATATTAACCGAATTTCTGCCTGCTGCTAAGATCCTTGGAAATTCATTTCATTTCCCTCTCTCTCTCTCTCTTCTATTTGCAGCAGTCAAAGGCCAAAGGTGGCGCTCAGGGCCATACGAGGACGAAGGACTATGCAAAGCTAAAACCAAAACCCAAAAAGCCGCCAAATTGCAACTGAAGAAGCAACTTGCCACCGACTGAGGAGCGGAAGGGGAAGTGCAGCAGTGGAAGTGCGCCATTGGCAGTGTGGCAGTGGAGAGGCTGCAACCTGTTCCCGAAGTCTAATTAAAAAGCGCTGCACGGGAGGCTGCCTGCCTGCCGCAGAGTGCTCATACGCCCCGTGGAACGCGAGTGCTTCTTACTGCCTCTCTCTGTGTGTGTGTGTGTGTGTGTTGGTGTCTCTGTGTGTGTGTTTTATCTGTGAGAGTGCATATATATAAATTTTTGGTAAAAATTAAAGCAAGGCCTCAAAGAATTACTTTGGGCATGCGGCTGCTGCAGCCACAACTGTTGCATGCAACATGGATGGCGAAAATCGGATTATACTCAATGTGGGCGGCATAAGGTGAGTTCTTCCATTATAATATTAAAGAGAAGTCCTCTATAGATATGCCAACAAATTGTGGCAAATATATTTAAACATAAATAAATAAATTGGGCGCATTATTTTTTTTTAGTTTAAAAATTAATTGATATCTTTTCCATTGATCTTTAATTAAGCCAAAAAATGAAAATTTAATTTAAAATAATCAAAAAACAGTAGGATATACAATTTATATAATAAATGACTTCATATCGCTGCCAAACAAAATATGCAATTAGTAAAATGGCAAAAGCAAATCAAATCTAGTTCTAATTGTTCGAAAATGCACAAAAATTCATTTTTTAGAAGCCAAACATAATCAAATAGAAACAATATTCTCATAATAAATGTGCACAAGTATTTTCCATTAGGGAAATGCCAGAGAAATTCGATGCCAAATGATATCAAATTTAATTAAAATAAGAGAACAAAAATTCTATATCAAATATTTATGATATAAAAATCGATGCCCAAAGGCTTTAATTGAGTAAATTGCAAAGAGGGAAAATAGGTTTTACATACAAAATATCACAAAAGGAATACTCGTACTGAAACATCAGAAAATAAATCTTTATCTAATACAATAAAATCCACAAAAAACCTGAAACATTTGTCCGTGAGTTTGATTGCCCGAAAAACTTTTCTCTCATTGCCATGAATTTTCGTCTGAAACTAAAAGGATAGTTAAAGCATTTTTCGCCACTGGGGAGGAAAAAGAAAAGTACGAGTATTTTCCTTGCTTCTATTTACACACCGGACGTGGCCAAATCACGTAGCACATTTTGTTGATTTAATATATTCACAATAACAATATTTGCTTAGCCCTGGACACGCCTCATGCCACGCCACACACTCACATACACAGACACAGTCACGCAGACACCCAGCTGCCCACACATGCCTGACATTTGGGGGCATGGATAGTGTTTTTCCTTTCTGGACAGGATATTGGCTGTCCGAGGGATAGTTCGAATGTGTTTCCGTCATCATTTGGGCAGAAACAATGGATACAGAGAAGCACGGCTCTCTGTTGTTATCGTTTTGCCTGGCCAAAACAGAATACAAATCCATACACAAAAATAGCAACAGGAAATGTTGACTCGCACTCGTACTGGTTCTCTGCTCAAATTTCAGTATGTAATTTCAAGTAAACAACTTTTCTTCTTCCGGCTTTCAGTTGTAAGCCCCATGAGGGACTTGGAACCCCTGGCCCTGTCTGCTGCTTGAACGCACTTTTCTGGCTGAGAGCATTTATCCAGCTGCAGATTTCGTTTCCCTGCTTTCCCGTGTGTCTAGTTAATAATTTATGATTCCGTTAATGGCGGGGCGGGACAATGTGAGTGGAGAGATACGATTAAGAGTAAATCCTCTGTTTTTCGGCCGAAAGAAGATTCGGATTAAACGTGCAAAATTTCCACGAAATAAATCCCTGTATTTCGAATTTACATTTTCAATTAAACAAACATAAATTTCAAGTTTTTTTTTTTATGGGAGTGTGTGTGTTTTTTTCTTTTTGCTTTTTCTGAACCACTTTGACCGACACAAAGCGGTTTAATTTGATTGCTGCCAACATATTTTGGGCTTACGGTTAACCGCACTTTTTGGAAAATTAACAATGCAATTGCTGGACACAGACAGCAACAACCAAAAAAAAAAAACAAATATAGATGCATCTCTCAAACGCAACCGCAACACTGACCACAAAAACAGAAGAACAAAAAAAAAACGAAGAGCAAAACCCATAAAAATGTGTAGGAAAATGCATTTGTGTCCCTGCCCCACGCCTCCCCTAAAACGCAAGGCCATTAAATTGACACATTTCTGTGGGGAAAAATAAAATATTATACCATACAAAGGATCACTTGAAAGGGAGGTTCTGATGGGGGGGGGGGGATATTCGTACAATATTAGAGGATGTTGAGCACTACAGACAGCAGGAATACCTCTTGTTAGAGGTTTTATTTGATTGGGTAGAAGCAGGGAAATAATTCCCCAAAGGGTGGATTGGTGCATTTTTATTGTATTTGTGGTAATAATATTTCCTTTACCATTTTTGTGACAATTACTCGATTAATAGATCAAATTTATAGTTCATATTTTTCATATCATTCTTAAATGAGTTCATAAAATTGCAGAGCAGAAGGTAAACCAATGCAGACCTTCTTTGCCATATTAAATCCCCTTTAAGGTCAGCAAACACACAATCTCCTGCCTGTGTCCTGCCTTTACTCGTATCGCGCACACCCTGCAGCAACACACTGCAGGCAGGGAGGGGTATCAAAATGCCTTTAGTTGTACACAAAACTACATTCTCGTACATTTAGTACAAAGCCGACATTTGCCATCTAAATGGATGAAAGCTTCGCTTCGGTTTCAGTTTCGTTTACAGTTTTGTGGACTGCTAAAGGGATGGACGGGCGTGGTACGCGTCTGTGGGAGTGGGAATGAGTGAGGAGTGTTGTAATATGTCACACTACTCGAATGCTTGTTTAAGCCCTCTGCAATGGCGGTGTGTGTGTGTGTGTGTGTGGCATATACTTTTCGCATAGCATACTTATGCGGGCTCTCCCCGACATCTCCTGCTGCTACTGCTGCTGCTACTGCTGCTGTTACTGACTGGCAGCCTGCTGTCAGCTTGCCGACATTTTTAGCACACACACACACACACACACTTGCATTGTTTGCCCCAGAACTGCGTGTGTGTGTGTGTGTGTGTGTGTGTAAATAGAATACATTCTCATTCGGATTGTAAGTATATTCTGGTGTAAGTTGTTTGCTATTTTCCTCTAAAAAATAAAACCTCGTGTCGCCTTTAACAGGAGAGAACACTGTGACAGAGCTGTGTTTAAAATACTTGTAGCTCTATGTGGGCAAAAGTGTGTGGGGTGGTATGTTTTCCTGGAATCAGGCTTTTAAGGGAAACAATTGAAATGCGTATCTGTTGCCCAGAAAACTTGACTTGAGTTTAAGTTGAGTTTCCGACATACCTTTGATGTTTTGTCGTGGCTTAAAGAAAGCTTTTGGATTTCCGTTTTGGGTTTCAGTGAGGATTAAACTGAAACTTTGAGGATACTTTTGCTCTGTGTATTGTTGTGAGCTTTGTTGTTGTTTGCTGGCATTCCATTGGCTAATTGGTTTCCATTTCTGCTTGCGTTGATTACCAATTTGATTGCCTCACTTGCATTAGAGATGGATAACAGTAGCTGATAATTATGGGCTGGGAATACAGACATCTGTATCTGTGTATGTGGAGAATATAATCATATTTGCTTTGGCTCAATATCAATCAATTGAGTGTAATAAGATGGGAGTTTAACAATGGAATATGTCGTCAAATAAAGATGATTCCTTGGGAGCCCAAAAGGTTTCCCTTTAATTAAGTTTTCTGTGACAGACTGCTTGCAAAAGGCAGCCTAAAAGGGAGCTTTCCTAATTTCGTTTAGTCATTGCCTTGAAATTTATTAAAAAAAAGTACCAATCATGAGTTGCCTTTTCATTTGCTTGAATCATAATGGAAATAATGAATATATACACAGACCATCTTTGAGTGGGCGAAAGCTCGCTCTCTCTCTGTCTTTCGATGCGATGCTTATCATTTCTGATTACGCGGCATTTTTTGTGATAAAAGATCTCTTTCGTTTCTTTTCAGAAATGATTTTTGGGTATTTGTTGGGGGCTGGGACTGGCACTGGCAGCAGCAGCTCATCAACGCAGACAATTGCGCACTGATTGTATCTTTGAGATACACACACACACACTCAGACTGAAAGCAGAGGCAATAAAATTCCCACTGTGGCAGGCACACACACACACACACACACACAGATATTGTACATTATCCTTAGTGCCTGCCGCTGGTTGCTTGTTTGTGTTGGCTGTTGAGGTTGATGTTGATGTTGCGTATTTCCGCTGGCATCCACACACGCCTTTGTTGTTGTTGCAGGGGCAGGCACCCTTCAATCTTGTGGCATTGTGTGTATGAGTGTGTGTGTGTGCGGGGGAATTAAACGAAATGGCTAATGAAAAGTTTAACAGTCAATAAATAAAACCAGCATCAACCATTAGAGCAAGGAAGGGGCTGGCATGCCATGCATCATGGCAGCTGTGGCCTTCCGCTCAATTTCATCTTCAAGGGCGGGGGCACTAAACTAATATTTGTGCCGTCTTTTCTTCAGACTTAAGCACAATTTTCTATCTGTTTTGAATTTTCTTTGATTGCCCAAACATAAAGAAAGTCAAAGCCTGATTTTTGACACGCATTCTGCGGCATTTGCTGCGCCAAAGAAAAAGAGAGGGAGATACGGAAATGAAAGCGAAAGTGAAACCACATGCAAAATGCAAAATGTACGTGCCAGCTGCACGTCCTCAAGCAGGCCGCTTAGACGCAAGTGCCCAGGACAATGCCACACAGAAATACATCCAAACGGACACAAAGCAGCAGCAGCAGCAGCAGCAGCCCACAGAGGGAGCGTGTGGCATGCAACCTGACAAAACCACAGCCAACACGAAGTACAAGCTACAAACAATTTAAAATCAACAGCTGTGCGCGTGTCCTGGCGATGAAAACTTGAAGCAGCAGCTCGAAATTTGTTTCTTTTTTCTCTGCGGCTGAAACGAAAAACAATGAAAATGGTGGGAAGGGAAGGAAAGGGAATAGGGAACGGAGGAGGAGGCCGGTCGGAAATAGCAAAGTAATAAATAAATTTCCTGCTCTTTTGCTGTTTTGTGTTTATTGTGGCTTCTGTGCCCCATGCTCCATGCCACATGCCCCCGCTGCCGCCGCCTAACGCTTCATTAACTTTTTGGCTTTTAATATACTCGTAGGCTGGACCCGAAATTTCCTCCGCTGCCTTCCCGCATTTCCGCCCAATCATCTGTGGCCCCGCCATCCATCTCGTGGCCCCATCCGTTGTTGTCACTCAGTCAGGCGTTCATCCGCCAAAGGGCTGTGGTAGGGGGCCGCAGCCTCCTGCGTCTGTGGT